AGCATAAATCCTAGCTCTTGAATGTGCCAGCAGAAAGACCTGCTTCAGCAATGGATACCTATAGTCTGTTCCCAGTTAGAATGCGCTTTGCAGACGGAACCATGGCACCTGCACCATCAGAGAGATGTAATTCCTTTTTCTGAGGAACGCACAAGTCATGTGCCCAGGAGCAGCCAGAGTAAGCAAAGATGTTAAATCAGAGGGTGGGAAAGCCCAGTAACACGGGCACAGAGGGGCTATGCAATTCAAAGGTTCGCCTGAATTCTTTGATTTCCCTTAGATATCAGAGATGTTAGATAAGCAGAGTGGAAACTATCTGAGGCAAAGGTTCTCTCTACACAGTTTAAATATTATTTGCCACTTTTCACAGTAAACTGTGCCAAATGTGTATCACATAAAACATTAACATCAACATTTGTAACATTTGAAAAGTCAGTGGAACAGAATGTATATATCAACACTCAACTCCAAATCAACAATTCAGCAAACACAGAGGAAACTCAATAGCCTGAATTCTGTTGGCATTCACATACAGACTACATCTTCAGTGCATTCACTTTTTCAGGCAAGCAGCCATGGCACAGTGAAAAACTGCAAACTTCCAAAGATGATGCAACAGTAATGTTTATATTGCCAATATGATAACATGCAGGGTTTTGAGATTTTGATATGAAAATGTATTGAATATTAATGTTGTATAGTTAAATGTAAAATGGCTGATTTTACCTGAGTCATGTATATATTATATTCAGGTGTGGTATCAAGGATTAAGACTTAATGTTGTACAGCTGTGGTACACAATGAAACTCTGTGTAACAGAAAATGAAGCAATGTATTTTCTGATTGGTCACAGAACTGTACATAAGTCATGTGTAAAATGAACGTCTTTATCTGCTGTAAGTCAGATCACTTTTTCCTATGCTGTGTGTTGCCATGGTAGAACGAAGATTTAGTACTCCCGTAGTGTCTGTTCAGACAGATTGAGGGGGAGAGTTTTTAGCACATTATTTTGTAGACTGACTTAAGAAAAAAAGCCATTTGTCAGAGGTGTACAAACTTAGCCACACCTGCTGAGAATGGAGTTACAGAAAGAAGAAATGGAGTTTTGCAAACTGTGTTAGATTCATTACTTGCTGATGCCAAGTTACCCAGACTTTTTGGGATAAAGCCATAAAATGTGCTAATTATATTATGAACAGAGTGTGGAACTCTGCAGTAAAAAATACAGTACATCCTATTTTCTATTAAATGGGAGACAACCTTGTTTGAAACATATGAACTTTTTTGGTTGTCACGCTTGAGCTCATATACCCAAAACATGCAGGAAAAAAGGTAGCCCTAAGGTAAGAAAGTTGATTTTCTTAGGCTATCAAACAGGAAGCAAACGCTATAGATTTTGTGATCAGTATGGAAATGTGATAATTAGCAGGTCAGTTAATTTCTGTGAAAATGAGAACTGGTCACAAATTCATGGAAATAGTGAAATACTTTTGCCATTGTCCAAAGATAGACAAGAGAAGTTTGAAAATGAGGAAGAACAAAGTGAGACATATGAAGAAGGAAATGAAGCTGTAGGAGGGGAACATGAGACATGTAGTGAGGCTGAGGAAATTGTTCCAAGATGCTCACAGAGGTCTAATTTTGGTGTCCCACCTGAGAGGTTTACAGAATCATATGTAAATATGGTACTGTCTGAACCTAAAAGTTATGAGCAGATGTTAAAATTGCCTCATGCCCAACAAGAAAAAATGGTTGGTGGCATATGGGTTCACAAGTTGAAGACATTACCAGATAGTACCCAGCAACATAAGGCACATTTGGTGAATCAAAGTTTTACTTTGCAGCCAAAGTAAAACATTTTAAGTCAGAGTGCTGCAAAATCCTTGCAAAAGCACTGGAATGGTGTCAAAAGTGTGCTGAGATATTTAAAGGGAACCATAGACTGCAAGTTGAAGGTAAATGCATCTAACAATCTAAAATTAAAGTGCTATGCAGATTCAGATTGGGGTTCATGTGAAACTGATAGAAAGTCAATTTCTGGAATAGCTATTAGTCTAGGTGAATCTTTAATAGACTGGAAGTCTAGAAAACAAGGTTTAGTTCCCACAAGCACAGAAGAAGCTGAGTATGCTTCATTAAGTGATTTATGTGGAGAAGTCACATGGTTTGTGCAGTTACTGAAAGATGCAAACATGCAAATTGATTTCCCTCTCACAGTGCATAGTGACAGCACCACTTGCATTCAGTTGGCAACTGAGAGTCAAACAAAGGGTAGAAGCAAGCATACTTGCATAAAATATTGCAATGTAAAGAGTGCTGTGGATCAGAAGCTGATAGATTTACAATATTGTCCAAGGGAAAATAATATTTCAGATATTTTCACGAAGCCATTGCCAATGCACAAGCATGTTTATCTATGCAATAAGCTTGGTCTATACAATTAAATTTAAGGAGGGCTATTGAGATTTTGATATGAAAATATATTAAATAATAATGTTGTATAGTTAGATGTAAAATGGATGATTTTACCTGAGTCATGTGTAGATTGTATTCAGGTGTGGTTTCAAGGATTAAGACTTAATGTTGTACAGCTGTGGTACATGATGAAAATTTGTGTAACAGAAAATGAAGTAATGTATTTTCTGACTGGTCACAGAAATGTACATAAGTCATGCTGTAAATCAGATAACTTTTTCCTATGCTGTGTATTGCTTCATATCATATTATGCTGCCAGAGGAATACTGTATCTATTCTCTATGTATATATGTAAATATACTAGGTTGTTGGTTTTACTCTCTCAGTGTCGTAGTATCATAAGTATCTCTGCTAACCAATATCTCCTTACTCTGCTGATGTTATGAGACTACATGTTATAATCAAAATTCTCAACAGGTTTTAGCTAAATGTGATTTAATGTTATTTGAAAGTGCTCTGATATTGTGACGGGTAAAAAACAGTTTTGATCACGTGCAATTTATAGTGCAATCATGTATCTGTCTGCTCAAAAGAAAATCTCTGTGAATTCAAAGGACTTTACTCCTAGTGGCTATAGAATTACAGCCTTACCAATTTTTAAAAACAGAAACTGTGCCATATGTATAAACCTGCTCATTCTTGTGTGTGGCTTTAGCCCTCCATACATCTCCTTTGAGTGACATTGTAGTTTGCCAGTCAAGGCTGACACAGAATTCATAGGGTGTCAGGTGAATGCTAATACCTGATGTGTACAGTTTTTCCTGTAGTAGCAAAATGTCCCAAATTGATCCTAAAATCATGGTAAAACTCTATTACAGCAAGGTAAGAAATACTTTGAAATGGGATTTATAATTCATCTGCTCTTCAGCATACCATATCTGATGTTTAACCCTATAATGTCCGAAGAGTGAAAATATAGATAGCCAATCTTTTTTTTTTTTTGGTTAGTGCACTGAATTCCTTTCAGTTGTAGTGATTGTAGACAATAAAATAAAATTTAACAGGAAGAACTGATGCATGTATTAAAGACTGGAAAATCCCAACATCATAGCAACGTGGAATATGTCTCTAATAGAGAGCAAGTTTTCTTCACAAAGATTACCATTTGTTCAGTATCCACATGTTCAAAAGCAATACAAACCCATATTACTATGTTGGTTGGATTTTACATTGTATGGAGGTTCATTAGGATACTAACCTCTAGAGTGGCTCTTTTAAAAAAAAACAATATAAAAGCAGCTTAGAAATTACAAATAGTATCAAAATGATTGAATAATTCAATGTAATATAGAGAAAGTATGGCTCTTTATAGTGCATGCCAGTCTTTGAAGTTTTGCATTCAATTTTGTTTTATGTATGGCTTGATGCCGTAACAATAAAGTATGTATGTATGAACTGTGCTGTCATTAAAACAACTATTTTGGTACATGTGCACCTATCAATTAACTTGAAAATAATACACCTATAATTATGTATTATTTTTCATGATAATATAATGAATAAAACCCCATGTTACTTAAATAGAAAGTGTAAAAAATATATATATAAGATCTGGAGCAATCGAGGGTTGGAAAGTGCGAGCTCTCTTTCAGGAAGTCTGCCCTTAACATTTCACCTCAATTGTGAATAGACATGCAGAGCCTTAACCTCAGACTTCCACCTTATAGAAGGTATTAGTAAGCATCTTGATCACCAATTGCACTATAAACAGGCATGTTTTTTCTCCAGGTATTCTTTGGGCCACTCCTTGATACATCAAACCGTTTCTCTTACTGTTGAGATCAACTTACTGAGTGAAGCCCTCTTCTGTTGCCACTTGACTTTTGCTTCTCCCTTCCCCCTTCATTTGTCAAATGCACTTCTCCTCACACATCCTCCATTTTGTCCATTTAACTATGAACCATTTGAGCAAGAATCCCTTTTGTTATGATCCCAACTCTCCCTATGATGCCATCATTAATTCCATCTTAAACAGTTAACAGCTGCTATGTGGTTCTTTCTCCAAATTGCTAGAAGAGAACTCATTGGCAAAGATTCTTTTCCCCTCCTTCAATGATTGTCCAAGGCCTTTCACTTCATCTATCTCTGTCCTCACAGGAGTCCAGAAGAACAAATGAATTACTCTGGATGGAAGAGAAAAGAAAGGACAGCAAGATTTTATGCACATGTAATGGAAGATGGTGACTCGGAAGCTGTCAGGTGGTGGGACCCAAATGTTCCAGTGGCAGTTACTGATTCCAAAAAGTCAGTCTGAGACAAAAGGGAAATTAAAGAGTGCATGACTTCCAGTTGGACTTTTGGAGTTTGTTTTACATTTCCACCAGAACTGGAGGGAAAAGAAGATTATGCTGCAAGATAGCAGTATGTCTTTGTTGCATCATGGGGAACAATTGATCCCATCCCCTACCAGTGGTCAGGAAAGCTATTTGTAGCTGATTCAAGAATTGTTTTCTGTGCAGATGTACAAAGCAGCTCTCTAGAGAGAAAATGTAAATATCCTAACACAAGCTTAATGCACATTAGAGAGGCTCTAAAAGTCTTTATTAGGACTGCATCCTTTTCAATAACTAGGCTATGGGGTATACATATTATTAAAAAATCTCTTAGGATGAAGTAAATATGAGGTTAGAAAATAATGGATAAATAATAAGTGGCTAGGAGATATTTAGTCACATGTGAGCTGCAAGTCTTTGAAGGGTTAACCCAAAACATTCACAGTTTCACCCTGGAATGTTAGTGCAATAAATGAGTGTCCATTTATGCAGCAAAATTAGTATTAGTATCTTGCTGGGTATATAATTCCACTTCAAAAATGGATGGGAGTAGATGGATGATTTCACTTTAGGAGGCAGAAGAAATAAGGAGAGGACAATCCAGCATACTAGAAAAGTTTTTCCATTGATTGATGATTGATTGATTGATTGATTTTAAGGCTTGATGCTATATTTGCAGTCAGGGTAGCGGTAGGCAAAATGAGAATCACAGATCTGCAAGGGTTTCAAAATTTCTACCAACACCTCAGCTGCTGTGATAACCTCTTGCTCAGTGAGAAAGTTGTCTGCACAGATGCTCAGAGTACTGTCAATCTTCACCTGCATCGGAGGCAGAAATTTATCTTTTAAAAGCTTAGGCAGAAGTTCCATACACACCATGCTGAGGCTCTGAGTGCGTTTTATAGAATTACAGGAGGGGAGTGCATTCTGGCAATCTGTCATCAAGCAGCTAAATATGTCCTTTTCTTCCTGTAGTCCAGTCATCAAGTGGCTACCTAACAAAAAGGTAAGCAAAATGGTGGGTTATCAATTTGTATATTACTTTAGACACATTTTTAGCTCACAGTTACTGAAGCTTCCTGGGTGGTGAACAGGAACATTAAAAACAAATAAAATTACAATGGTATTCCTCTAACAAAATTACTTGTACTGAAACAGCAATAAATCCAGCAGCTGGCGAACGAAAACCAGGGCCAGCTCTCCCACTGTGCCATGGCAGCAGTGACTTACTAGAGAATAATTGGAATTGGGATCCATCACCCTGTTCCCCCTACAACTGCAAGAGAACAAGTGACGTCAATGTGCAGGCTTCCCTCCACCCTACCCCCATCACGGATGAAAGGGAAGGCAGTGGCTGAAGCTGGCCCACCCCTAAAATGATGGTTGTGGTGGTGTCAGTTGCACTGCTACCCTACTAACTGGGGGGTGGAAGAAAAACTTACCAACGGTGAGTCACATGGATCTTGGTGTCCAAACCCCAAATAAGAGAATAAATTGGTGGCTATGTAAAGTGGCAGTGTGTACCTGCAACATATACAGCTATTGGCTCTACTGTGCAGGTCTGGCATTTTCCAAAATGCCTGGCTTAGGGTGTCCTCAAAGGCAGGTCCTCTCTGAATGATTCATTCTATTTAGCCAAACCCCAAGGCTCCTCTGAGGCAGGCATGCAGGAAGACTCTGAGTTTTTACAGTAGAGGTGAGTTATTCTGCATCTTGTTTCTCAACCACATCATCGCTGAAAGGGGTGTATTTGGTGCAGCCGTATGCTGTTGTCCCAAACTGCCATCACCTCTCTCCTTTCCATGTCTAAGACACCAAAATCTCCTGTGATGGCTTTCTTGGTACAAGCAAGTGCTTCTTCCTCTTCCTCTTGCAGGTAGCAAGGGAAGCATTATTGATGCCCCTATGCCCACACTTTCAGGGAGGGAAGTAGCTGCCCCTGAAACTACGGTCTCCAGCCTCCTAATCCTTACTTAGGAAGTTGGTTGCCTTTCCAAAACAACAGGGTCCCAAGTGTGGTTAAGAGTGCACATTTGCTGATTTCACTGTCCTGTATCTTAAGGTGGCTGCCTCATTCAGCTCTGATTAAAACAAATCAGTCTTTAATAAAACTAAAATAAAGAACACTCATGAAAATAAAGTTGTGTCAAATTCTAAAATGACTGTCAGTGCAGAATAAAAAGTTATTCACCTGAGCCTCAAAATAACAAACTAAAAGCAAATGTTTTCTCTATAACCTTCTATAACCATGAATTTTGGGACCATGGGCTATGTTTCCTGGAAGATAGATGCTGGCAAGTGATGGGTTACATCTCACAAAGACTGGAAAGAATGCGTTTGGCCACACCATGAAGAACTTCATCAAAAAGACTTTAAACTAAATTGGAGGTGGGAGGGAGACACAAGCTCAGAGGTATAGATGAAAGCTTATGCACAACAAGAGGAACAGACCAAGCAGCTAATAATATTATCTAATAATAATCTTCATAAACATGTGAAAAGAAAAGAAGGCCACAAATCATGCAATCTCTAGTATCTATATGGCAGGAGAATAGAAAACAAACAAGAAGAACTAGAAATCTTAGTTCAGGAAGACAAATATGACTTGATAGGGATAACTCAATGGCTCCCAATCTTGGGCATACCAGGTGTTTTTGAACTGCAACTCCCAGGAAACCCAGCCAGTACAGCTGGTGGTGAAGGCTTCTAAGAATTGCAATCCAAGAACACCTCAGTTACACAAGGTTGGGAACCACTGGAATAACTAAAAGTTGGTGGGATGACTCCTATGACTAGAATACAACTGAAGGATATAAATTGTTCAAAAAGAATAGAAAATAGAGAAAGGGAGGTGGAGTGACAGTATATTTCAAAAAATAAATATTTCTCCACAGAAATACAGGATGAGCTTAGCTGTCCCATTGAGAGCATCTGGAGTAATATAATTTGGGCAAAAAACAAAAGGAGTATGGTAGTTGGAGTCTACTACCAACTGTCTAATAAAGGAGAAGATGTAGATTAAACCTTTGGAAAAGCTGCAGTAATTTGAAAGAGATACAAAGTAGCAATAATGTAAGATTTCAATTATCTTGATATCTGTTTGGAGGCAAATTCTGCCAAATATCAATCTTCCAAGAAATTCCTGGCTTGTGTTGCTCATAATTTTCTCGAGCAAAAAGTGGAAGAAGAAACTATAGGTTTTGTTATCCTTGGCTCGAGTCTAACCAGTAGAGATGACTTGGTAGAAGAAGTGGCAGTAAGGGGAACTCTGAGAGACAGTGGAAGGAAAGCCAGGCCACGAAGGAAGAGTACAGACAAACAGCAAAGAATTGTAGGGCTGGCGTTAGAAAGCAAAAGCTGAGAATGAGCTGAGGTTAGCAAGAGACAGTAGAAGCAAGAAAAACACATTTTTCAGGTGCATGTGTACCAAAAGACAGAAAATAAAAACAGAAAAGAAATAGTGGTTCAGCTACTCACTGGAGACAGAAAAATTGTAACAAATGACCAAGAAAAGGCAGAAGTGCTCAATTCCTATTTTAGCTCAGTATTTCCCCAAAAGACAGTCTATAACCGTCTAAGCAAATGTGAAATACAAGTGGAGGGGATAGGAGTGCAGCTTGATATACAAATACTCAAGGAATACCTTATTATTTTTAACAAGTTCAAATCTCCAGCATCTGATGAAGTGCATCCAAGAGTATTGAAGGAACAGGTTGAAGATGTTTCAGAACCACTCTCTAATTTTTTTCTGGAAAACACAGAGGGTGGGTGAAGCGCCAGATGATTGGAGGAGAGCTAATGTTGTTCCTGCCTTCAAAAAGAGCAAAAAGGAGGAACCTGGGTACTACAGACCAGTCAGGTCACAAGTTGAATATGAGCAAACAGTATGATGCAGCTGCAAAAAAAGGCAAATGCTAGTTTAGGCTGCACTTGCACATGTATAGTTTCTAAATCCTGCAGAATACTAGTTCTTTCTATTCAGCACTGGTTAAGCCTCGTCTTGAGGCTCAAGACCACTGTAGTGTCTTGAGTTCTAGGCAATGCAGTTTAAAAAGGATGCAAAAAAAAAAAACACAACCCAAAACAACTGGAATAAGTTCAGAGAAGGGCAATAAGGGCAATGACTGGGGGACTGGAAACCAAAAGCCTTGTAAGGAAAGACTGAAAGAACTGGGCATGTTTAACCTTGAGGAAACAAGGCCAAGAAGAGATCTGAAAGATACTGTACATCAAGGATAGTGATACAGAGGAGAGGCAGAATCAGGTCTCAGTTATCCCAGAGTGCAGGACACATAATAATGGACTCAAGCTACAGGAAGCCAGATTTAGGGTGGATATCAGGGAAAAAAACTTCTTAACTGTTAGACCAGTATGACACTAGAACCAATTACCTTAGGAGGCAGTGAGTACTCCAAAATTCAAGAGAAAATTGGACAGCCATCTGTCAGATGTACTTTGATTTGGATCCCTGCATTGAGCAAGGGGTTGGACTTCCAACTCCATTATTCTATGATAAATCTAGGTTCTGAAGCAAGTTGGTCTGCAAACAGTTCAATGTCTTTCTGATTCATTCACTGGAAGAAGACATTCATTCATTCATAGAAGTTCAACCCAAACTCTCCCAGAGTAAGTGGTTGCAGCTCCTGATATGACCATCCTGGGTTTTGAGATCTTTAGGGCAGGCCCTTCTACTGATCCCATCGACCTCATAGGCATGCTTGGTCCAGACATGAGAGAAGGCCTTTTCAGTAGCTCCAGATAGGCTGCGAAACTCCTTTCCAGGCTAAACCACTCTGTGCTGTCCTTCCACTGGCAGACCAAAGCCCTTCCTTTTAGCCATGACTTTAATAATTAATAATAATTAATTCATATCTGCTAAGGAAGGGGTGTTATCTTTTTAAAAGTGTTTTAAAATGGTTTTAAAAGTGTTTTATTCAGTACTTTCAAGCGATTAATAGGCTTAATTGTTTTTAGTAAGGTAATACATTATATTCTTAATTGTTTTTATTCTTGTTTTTTAAATTCTTTATAAGCTGCCTTCAGTCCGTCTGCTGAAAGGTAAAGGTAAAGGTTCCCCTTGACAATTTTTGTCCAGTCGTGTTCGACTCTAGGAGGCGGTGCTCATCCCCGTTTCCGAGCCATAGAGCCAGCGTTTTGTCCGAAGACAATCTTCCGTGGTCACATGGCCAGTGCGACTTAGACACGAAACGCTGTTACCTTCCCACCGAGGTGGTCCCTATTTATCTACTTGCATTTGCATGCTTTCGAACCACTAGGTTGGCAGGAGCTGGGACAAGCGATGGGCGCTCACTCCGTCCCGTGGATTCGATCTTACAACTGCTTGCTCTTCTGACCCTGCAGCACAGGCTTCTGCGGTTTAGCCCGCAGCGCCACCACGTCCCTCCTGAGAGAAAAGGTGGCATATAAGTTAAACATAACTAAATAAATATCAGACGACATCTAGCAATATATACTGGGACTGAACAGCTCAGCTCCCTTGTTTGGAAACACATAGCCAGCTGCATTTCATGGAGAAGGCTAATATATCTGAGAGAAAACCTGCCTCAGAACTTTTCCTAACATGCTGCCTTTCCACATGCTGGAAGCTACGGGTCATTCAGACAGCAGAGCTCAAAAAGGTGGCAGGGTTTATATTTCAAGTGCAAGGTGGCACTTAGAAAGAGCCGAGTGATGTGTCCCCTTCTGACATTGGCTGAAATGAGCCACTTTCTTGACAACCTGGAACCAGTATACTTAAGTAGAGCGTAATGTGTTTGCGTTTCAGTTCAGTTCAATACATTAACCTGACAACTACACAGAATCAGACAGTTAGACATAGAGACTGCCACTTAATTGCTGATTCTTGTAATTTTAATTAACTGATCTACCATGAAGTGTTTGAAAGGAAAGAACAGGTGAATAAAATTATTTTTCATCTTATCTCACACCCTCTTGTGACAGATACTTATTCAAAGACAATAGTGAGTACCTTCCTGATTGTCAATGACTCCCAGCATGCTGGCATCCCGGATAAAAAGACGTCCATCGCTGAAGACACCAAATGTGCCAGCATCGACTTGTGTAAAGTAGAAGAAATAGTTCAGGTCATTATTCACCATGGAATCAAGAACAGCAAAGAGCTGAAGCGCCAGATCCACTGCAACATCTGCGGATACACTGTAAAATTCCTTCAGAGGTCTGGTGCTGGTGGTGACTATCAGTCGGCCACAGGATCCCAAGTATTTTGGAAATGGCCACCCTTCTGCTCCAGGGAAAATCTATCAAAGAGAAGAAATACAAAATGTGTTGGTGATGATGTACTTTTTTTTTTTTAAAAAAAAAGATAAACAGTTGTTGCTTTTATGTGTTGTCAACTTGTTTCTGACTGGCGACCCTATGACTTTGGGACATCCAAATGCTCTCTTTTTAACAGCCATGCTCAGCTTTTGCAAATTCAAGACTGTGGCTTCCTTTATTGAGTCAATCCATCTCATGTTCAGTCTTCCTCTTTTCCTGTTGCCTTTCAAATTTCCCCAACATGGTTGTCTTCTCCAGTGAGTCTTGTCTTCTCAAGATCTGCTCTAAGTCTGATACATTAAATTCAGTCATTTTTGCTTCTTGAGTGAGTTTAGGCTTGGTTTGATATAGCATCCACTGTTTTGTCTTTCTGTTGGTCAATAGAATCTTTAAAACCATCCCCCAACATCACATATCAAGTGAATCATTTGTTTCATTGTCGGTTTTCTTCACTGTCCAGGTTTCACATTTGCAAATAGTAACTGGGAATATCACAGTGTAGATTATTTTTGCCTTGATCTGCAGTAACATATTCTTACATTTCAGGTTGTTTTCTAGCTCCTTCATATCTGCCCTCCCATGTCTCAGTTTTTTTCCTGAATTCTTAGCCTTAGTCTCCATTTGGATTGATGACTGAACCACAGTATACAGAATCTTTAACCATTTCAATTTACTCATTGTTACTATTTGTCGTCGTTGTCGTTTAGTCGTGTCCGACTCTTCATGACCCCATGGACCAGAGCACGCCAGGCTCTCCTATGTAATTCTGCAGATATTGTTTTGGCCTTTGTTTTCTTAATATCTAACTGCACTCCTGATATATTTATTAATTGTATTGTGGTGCTGTGAGGCAGAGCTGATCCAGTAAAACCCGGCAAGAGATGAACAGGCTCCGTTTATTTAGCACAACCTTTCACCATCTAGCACCCTCCGGATGTTTAAGATTCCAAGTCCCATTAGCTCCAGCTAGTGTGGTCTGTGGTCAGGAACACTGGGAGCTGTGGTTCAAAATATCTCGAAGGCACAAAACTAGAAAATCAGCTTAACTATGTCTCTAACCATGTCTGTTTTACCATACATAGTCAAAGTTACACTTGCTTGTGTTCATTTCCAGAGAAACACACCTATCTTTAAACCCAATAGTTTTCAAGGCATAAGTAAGATTTGACTATTCCATTTTTAAAACAAATATTACATTTATATATCAGCCCATTAGTGCATAGCATTTTTCTGGAGAGTTTATAACACAGTAACAAAATATCAAGAATACAAAGATCAAGTGAATGAATAAGTCAAACCAACCATACTACATGCAATTCTACTTACATTGTTTTTGTAATTTAACAGACTCAGAAACTGTCACTTTCATTTTTATAGCAACTGCTGCAAAATTGTCAGAAAGAGCAAAAAACAAAACAAAACAAAACAAAGGCAAAGATTCACAAATGAACCACCAGATTAAGTACACCTCAGCTTTCACTGCAAACAGTAAATTAGCAGATAAACTCAGAAACCAACCATGAAAAGGAAATATAATATGTTAATCATATTTGAAACTATTATCTTGTTTAGACCGCTTGAGCATTACTTTTCCTTGCCTTGAGTCCCCAGATGTTACTGGATTACAATGTTCATGATCTCTAACCAGTCACTATGCTTGCTGGAGGTGATAGGAGTTAGGGTCCAACATCAATTGGTGTCCCAAAGCTGAAAGACTTCATTAAGCTGGTCAACTCTATGCAGGCTTTCCAGAAATTAAGACATAAGACTGTTGAAAGGGATTGACTTGACTTTTTGCAGTTCTTTTAATTGTAAATTAGTCATTTCATGTCACCTCATAGTACTGAATATCAAAATGCTGCTTAGAAGAGAGCTGAGGGAAAAATATTTTTGCACTACATATCCCAGAATTCTTGACAGTCAACTCTTTTTTTGTACTCTTGTTTAGGATACCACTAAGCTTCCAGAATCTCATTATTTAAAAGCTAAGCTTTAAAATGGAGGGCTGCTCTACCACCTTGAATTCATAAAAATCACCCTGCACCCTTTCTTTTTGATCTATGATAATTTTCTTTCTCTCTTCCCAAATGACTGGAGTGTGTGCATGGCAAACTAGTGATGCCAATTGGCTGCCGGGTGCATGAATTGGCAGACTTGCAATTTTGTCACTTAGCTCATGCTGTGTATTTCAGTGTGTTCACTGAGAGCTACATCAAAGGACGTGGTGTACTACATGCACATTCAATGTGCAGGTAAGTGCAAGATTCTTTTGTATGCACTGATTCAGGCTTGGTGTGTAGTTATTTGTTCTGACCTTTGTTAGTTTTTTAAAAAGAAATCTGTGTACATGGAGAGGTTGCAGGGAGAGAGAAAGACAAATGACAAAAAATAGGAATGTATATTTTCTGCGATCTTCCCTCATGAGCCTTGTAAGGATTCTTGTGGTGCAGTGGTTAAACTGCAGTGAAGACACAGCTCACAACCAGAGTTTGATCCCAGGTTCCACCAGCTGCTTTGAGGTTGCTGACTTAGCTTTTCATCCTTCCAAGACCGGTAAACTGAGTACTCAGCTTGCAGTGTGGGGCAATGTGCAGCATTCAAAATTAAATTGTAATCTGCCCAGAGAATGTGTTAAACACCAGGGGGCAGTATATAAGCAGCACACTTTGCTTTGCTGTGCTTCCCTCCCCCAGTGGGAGTTCATCAGAGGCACATTACTTAGCAATCAAATCTGCAAATGAAGTCCATGATTACATTCCAGAAACCAACCATGAAACAAAGCATGCTAAATATAGGATGCATAGATGAAGAAAATCATGTGCTGTAATAAATAAATGCATTTTACTACTTGGGCAAAAGGCATGATAAAGTTGTATCAATGTACCAATGCAGTTAGGGCTAGACTTCATCAGATACCCCACCCCCAGTCCTATAACTATCAAAGGGGCAGGAGCAACAGGCAGATCTCTGTTGAAACCATTATGGGCCTGCTGGGCCCTGCTGGAGACCACTCTTCATAAAAAAATAGCAACACCTAAGGAGGCCAAGATAGTTGCCACCAGGAACTGGGCATTTCTTATTGGAACCTCATATCTTTGGAATAAATTACAAATAGAGGTTTACTAGGTTCTGTCCCTCTCAGTTTTTAAGAAGCCACTTGAAACAGAATTGTTCAAAGCTGCCTTTTATTAATGTGTGCCATTCGCTGTCCAACTGTGTGCATATTAGACTACTGAGTGGTATATAAGATAGGTTTAGATTTGCTTACTTTTGTCAGATTCGATGAGTCATGTGGTTTTATTTTATCTTTTATTGCTTTTCATTGTTAATAGTTGGTATTATATTGCCTGCAGTTTATATGTGGCGGTTGTAAATCGCCCAGAGTGTGCGTATTAGACTACTGAGTGGTATATAAGATAGATAGATAGATAGATAGATAGATAGATAGATAGATAGATAGATAGATAGATAGATAGATAGATAGATAGATAGATAGACAGACAGACAGACAGACAGACAGACAGACAGACAGACAGACAGACAGACAAATAGATAGATAAAACAGAAACAAATCTCTGCTCCATTAAGAAGACTGTTCAGCATTATATATCATAGGTCAAAATACCGGTACAATACATACACCATTGAGTTGTTTGATGCCCTAAAGTTTCCGATAGCTTGGAATGGCATTTCATTTGGTAAGTATGTGAGGCATGGAAATAGAGGGTCCTTTCTTAAGAATATTGCCTAAATAGTATGATTAACACCAAGCCATGGTAAGAAGTAATAAAATGGACTCAGATCCTATAAATATCACTAGGGGGAATAAACAAGGTTGCCCACTTTCTCCTATAATTTTTTGTCTGCAGTTGAACCATTAGCTAGTCTCCTCAGGACAGAAATGAATATTCAGGGAGTCTTTAAGTAGGAGTTATGATTCCCTCTGAATTGTCTAATGTTAATACCTTAAATTACAAATCACTGTTACATCTAGTTAAATAAAAACTAATGCAATGGCAAAAATTTAATCTGTCATTACTGGGTCACATAACATGTCAATTCTGCCTAGGTTAAGTTATCTCCTTCAGGTCCTGCCTACAGTGATATAAGATGTGGTCTAAGTACTGGCAGACTATGTGTACAAATTTTATTCATAGCTCCAAGAAATCAAGAGCATCTCATGCAGTGATTTTCCATAATAAAAATATGGAGCATTGGAGGTCTTAAATTTTAAAGTCGATTACGTAGCATTGCAGATAAAACAAATACTTTGTATATTTGTTGGCTCCCAGCCTCCGACATGGGTACCACTGGAAATAGAATCTCAGAATTTGGAAACATTGAAAGGGCTTTTATTTCTCCCTATATAATTTAATTCCATACCACTGATAACCAAAGCATTCATTAGAAATTTGGCAAAAATTGGGAAAGACTGGCAAAATAAATTGTTTTCTGCTCCATCCCTACTGACCTCCTTCCTTAGCTATCCCTTATTTTATGATGTTGATTAATGGAGTCAGTTTAAATTGTGGAAAGATGGTGATTTATATCAATTAAGAGATTTGTATAATAGTTCTGGCCCCAAATCAGGGGAGCAACTGTTAAATCAAGCAAGTACTATCTCACCCTCCTGGTCTCAAATATTTCAGGTTGCTCATTTTTCTTCCCTTCAAGCAGTCAAAGTACAGGCCACCAGACAATTAACTACATTTGAAACATTGCTACTAGCCTCAGAAAACATCTAATGAGGGTTGGCTTCAAAATTATATGAAATAGTAATTGAATCTCACTGTGGCTGTAAATTAGGTACCTAAATTGTTTGGGAAAGCAATTTGGGGGTGACCATCTGCACAGATGGAATTTTACACCATGCCATTTAAGTTGTATCAGTTCATCCTGTTGGAGGAAATGTGGGGATATTAGTATGTACTTTCATATGTGTTGGACATGCCCTCCAATCCAGGTTTACTGGTTCAGAGGTTTTTACAGAAATACAATTTATTACAGGGCAAAAACTTCTAAGGTCACCAGATCTAGCTTTTCTGTCCTTATTTTCAGGCAATAATGAACATCTATTTCATAAACAATTGATTATTGTTTTCTCTAGTGCAGCATGCTTGGAAATTGCCACAAACTGGAAGGGAACTTGTAATTCATCTTTACATCCATGAAGAAACCGAATATATTACATAGTCCTAATGGAAAAATCAGCACACCAGTTCAAATTACTTAACCACATTCCCAAAATGACTTTTTCAACGCTTGGTTTCCTTTTATTTTTTTTTAATGTTAATAAGAATAACAAGACTTATTTTCCACCAGCCTCCCATGTCAGACTTTGGTGTGATATTCTAATCTGATGGATTATAAAACTGTGAAGGTCTGTATCAGATTATACATTTCTAGGGTAAGACCTGTGCTATTATGTTGTTGTTTTTTCCATGTTCTTTCAATAACTGCTCACTTCTAAGGCCCTAAACGGTTTAGGACCTCGATATTTGGCAGAACGCCTGCTCCTACCAAGATCTACCCGAATCACCCGTGCGAGCCAGGAGGTGAGGCTGAGGAGCCTGATGCCGAGAGAGGCCCGGAAGGAAAAGACACGAAACCGGGCCTTCTCGGCGGTGGCTCCTCGCCTCTGGAACAATCTCCCTCCTGAGATTCGCGCAGCCCCCACTCTGGGCACTTTTAAAACTCAATTAAAAACATGGCTTATACATTCAGGCCTTCCCTCCAGCTAATACCTGATTTTCTGTTTATTCTCCCTTAATTTATTTTCTATTCTATCTTTGCATTGTATTTGTCATAGTATAATTATTTTACTGTTTACACTATATTGGAAGCTGCCTAGAGTGTCTTACAAGCCAGATGGGCGGGGTATAAATGAATGAATGAATGAATGAATGAATGAATGAATGAATGAATGAAAGAAAGAAAGAAAGAAAGAAAGAAAGAAAGAAAGAAAGAAAGAAAGAAAGAAAGAAAGAAAGAAAGAAAGAAAGAAAGAAAGAAAGAAAGAAAGAAAGAAAGAAAGAAAGAAAAATATTTAAATGGCTAATTTTTAAACTAGTGATTCAAGCATTCTATAGTCTGAAGTATTACTTCAATTCTGTGCAGCACAGTGGATATGACTTTTCATTCAAGTTTATTCTTCCTCTGTTCCTCACTTGAAGCCAGGTTTAAATATAATGATCTATGCTACAGGAAAACTGACCTGTAACATGATGGGGTGAGTGCTGACTGACAATGTGTAGAGTAGTCGGAGTTTATCTCGATCTGTGAAATGGTCCATGTAGACGCTCCCAGCATCTGGCACCTCAGCATATCGTCGTACTATTCGGTCCAGGAGCCTCTGTGATGGGCAGCGAAGCATTGGTGTAGGCAGGCCCTGGAAGAAAGATAAAAGAGGTGGGGGAAACAATATTTTCTGTGCATTGAAATAGAAAATGACTCTGTGTTCCGTAAGTCTCTTTTGCACAACTTGGGAACCTTATGTTTTGGACCTACAGTTCCCAGAAACCCCTAAGCAATATGACAATTGGTCAAGTTGTGAGTTGTAGTTTTCCAGCTCAACCCCCTGTGTGTTTAGGAACAGAACCCTTGAATGAGCACAGCTATACTAATTTGGCAGAGTACTTGAAGAAGCAGTTAAAGCAGAAATGGGAAACCTTTGATCTTCCAGATGTTTGAGACAACAACTCCTCTATCTATACACGAAGATTTTCACGGCCGGGATCTAATGGTTGTTGTGGGTTTTTCAGGCTCTTTGGCCATGTTCTGAATGTTGTTCTTCCTAACGTTTCGCCAGACTCTGTGGCCGGCATCTTCAGAGGACAGCACTCTGTGCTCTGGTGTAGTTGGCTTGGGAGTGCCTGGTGTAGTTGGCACTCCCAAGACAACTACACCAGAGCACAGAGTGTTGTCCTCTGAAGATGCTGGCCACAGAGACTGTTGAAACATTAGGAAGAACAACATTCAGAACACAGCCAAAGAGCCCAGAAAACCCATAACAACCAACTCCTCTATCATTAGCTCTGTTGGCTGGGGCTCCCAAGAGCTGATGTCCAAAACACCTCAGTAGCCACTGTACTGCTCTTCAACACCGCAGAAAGAAATTCATGGAATTAAATGGCTTCATCTTATTATTTCTTAATTAAAAGTTGCAGCAGAAGGGGAACTTAAACAAGAAGAAATATTTTAATTGAATAACTCAGCCATAACATTAAAAATGAATGGGACTTTATTAGGGCTAATCAAAATCTAGTAATAATTTTGTTTATTTATGTATTATTGTTTATTTATTACATTTCTATCTTGCCTTCCCATTAGAAGGAACACTCAGGGTAGCTGAAAAACATAATTAAAAACAGTTTAAAGTTTTTTAAAAAAAGAAATCTTGGTTAGTAAAACCATTAAATCACATCATTAAAATCATTACTGTTATAGTCATCAGGAAAATTAGTAATTAGAAAATTAGTAAATCAAAAGTAAAATTAGTGTCAGAGCCCAGTTTGAAGAGAAGAGTCCTCACACCCTTCATAAAGTAAGGAAGTTTGGCAGGGTCTCAGAACTGGACAAGAGGCCACTGTTCTCTGCTTGCTGCCATTCTTGTTTTTCCTAAAGCACAAGTCAGCAGAAATTCAGCTCCAGTGTGCAAGAATTCTCCGTTTGCACACTGAAACCTCTTCCAAGTGAGAGATTCCTCTGCTACTCATTTGGATTTGAGGGCTGGATGCAGCCTGTGTTTTATATACCAGAAAAGGGCCAGTGGCCTACTGAGCTTCCTCAGAGCAGAAGGACCACCACAGGAGAAAGACAGGCTCACATTGCTTGAACTAGCCCTGCCCTCATGCTAGCAGTCTTTTCTTTTCTTTCTTTCTTTGTGTCAGAAGCAACACAATACAATTAATAAATATATCAGACAAATGTTGCCCAATAACAGGCAACATCCAGAACATTAGAGGCAACTAACATCAAGTCTTAAGTGGCATATATTTGGGGGGGGGGGGATAGAGCACACTGGCATAGGTGTGAAGTGGCCTGTTCTTTTCTGCACTCGCAAAGGACCGTCACTGTGAAAATTCAATTTTCTTATGTTCACTTTGGTTCTGCCAACTCCACTCTATAGCCTATTAATGATGTGATTACACAGCAGAAAAATGTGAACAGATCCACTGTGGAGTTGCACCCAAGAAGTCAGATTTCCTTGAGTGAACTCACTTTAACTGACTACATATAAGGGAGAGGGGAGGAAAATTACAATCTGCTTTGTTTGCAGCTGGTTAAAGTAGTTCTGCTTTTCCCCTTCAGATTTGCAGGAGGCAGGGTTATATCAGAGCTATCTTAATAGGCTGGAAAAAGCTACACTAACAAGCTTCCAAACCTGCAAAGAGCTACCTTAACAAGCAGTTTCCTCCTCACTCTTTGTACTTTTTTCCCTTTGGTCTCCAGTTGCCCTAGTACAGTGGTCCCCAACCTTGGGCCTCCAGATGTTCTTGGACTTCAACTCCCAGAAATCCTGGCCAGCAGAGATGGTGGTGAAGGCTTCTGGGAGTTGTAGTCCAAAAACATCTGGAGACCCAAGGTTGGGGACCACTGCCCTAGTAGACCAATGCTTGCTCTAAATCCCCTTCAAAAGAATAAATAATTTGGAGACAAGGGGTACTCAGTTGTAGGGAACAAACAATCCCACAAGTACACCATTGCTTTCTCTCTCTCTCTCTCCAATTTGAACTAGGAAGCTGGGAGAGCCAACTTCTGATTGCCTATTCAGACTTGAACCTGCATCAGCTTAAGCAATCCCATTGCCTGAAATTATGCAAATCATGATTTATGCAAATCAGTAATCTATGCACCAGACAATTAACTACATTTGAAACATTGCTACTAGCATATTACATTATGTTTAGGTCCCTTTTTAATCTATCAGGGAGATGGACAGGGGACAGATTGTATTTGTCTTCAGTGGGGAAGGGATTGTCATTCTCGAATTGGCCTTCTCAGCCACACTAGACGCTGTTTCAAGACCTCTATTCAGAGCACATTACCATAGTCTCTCAAGACTGAAGGATGCCTACACTGATGCAAATACGTTTGTTTGTTTGTCTGTTTTTTTATTGCACTTATATGCTGCCCATCTAGACATTGTCTACTCTGGGCGGCTCACAACAGGCAGGATAAAAACAGTGAATATATAATAACAGTTTTACAGCAATAGACAATGATAACAGTTCAATATGGGAAGAAAAATAAATTAAGTAGTGCCTGGAGGGAAGGCCTGTCTGAATAACCAGGTCTTAAGTTGGTTTTTTAAAATGCCCAGCATTTGATTGGGGAAAAAGCAGATGTCCTAGTTGTTAAGGGAAATAAGTACAGATGGGGTGGAGGATACACTACTCTGATACACATTGACATGTATGTCATGTGGTCAATGGGAAATAATATGAATCTGACCATCCCCATTCTAGAGCATTTCCTGCCTTATTCATCAGTGTCATTGCCCCCTAAGTGATTTCCAAACAATCCAATTCTCTAGAGCCTAGACTTGAGTTTCTATTCATTTTAAGAGGGAGTAATTATTTCCTTCCACCTTACAGTCCTGGCATTCTCTGCTCTTCTTTTAGGATATACCAATGTCTTTGAGGGTGGAGGATCCTTGATTTTAATCCAGCGGGGGTGGGATGGTAGCCAAAGAGCCGATGAGCATTTGATGTAAATGATTTGAGTCTTTCATTCTTAGCTGCTGCCTCCCTCCATATATCACTGGTACAGTACCTGCTAGGTAATTGATTTTATCAGTAGGGGTTACAGGCAGTGATTTTCATGAAGAAAATCTGCCCTCCACTGGTATCATAACAACTCTTGCACCAGTCATGCTTCCTTGTAACAGGTGGGATACTTATTTTCAAAATAGTTTTAAGGAAATCCCATTTTAAGACTCCTCAATGGAGTCAAGGCTGATCTTATTTCCCACTGAAATAAATTGGATTAAACTAAATTAAATGAGGGATGAGGACCTAATGGTCTTCCACATGATGAAAGTCTGCTCCCATCAACCCTCACAATTAGCCAGGCTGCCAAGGACTGCCTAACAACATCTGAAGGACAAGAAGCTCAGGAGACTTGCCTTAAATCATGATTAACTTAACTAAAAGTCTGCAAAAATAAAAAAACACTTACTTGCTAGTTAAGTCTTATGGATACAGTGGGACAAACATTTGAGTATGCACGCAAAGGTTAGCCTTGTTGGTTTAAGACCTGTCCAAAGTTTTTCCAGAATGCTTGCTGAATATTTTAGAATAGGTATAATAGTCAAAATACAGTCCATTCCTCTCAACATGAATGAAATTGCACATATTTTTGAAAACATGGCAAATGATTAGTGTACAGTATTATTTCTTTTCATTCTTCTAGAATAGAACTCAAAGAACATGTTCGAAGCTTATGGAGAAGTATATACAGAATGTTTATCTGTATCACAGGGTGCAAGTCATAATGTATGTTTTCAAATGAGTCCATAAAGAAGGCATTCATTTTTATTTTTCCCACTATAAGATTCACATGACAAATTTGAAACCCAGACCTACAATATGTCACAGATAGTAAATTGTATCAAGCTACATTTTGGTGAGAAAGATTGCCTCCACAATCCAATAATTGTGAATATATTATCTTATTTATTAGTAGGGTTGCCATATTCTAGTTCTCAAAATCTGTCTAGTGTAATTTGTATGCAAATTGGGTAAACTTACTTGCACATTGTACAAATTTGCATATTGTGCAAATTAAGCATATTGAAGTATTGCATTGCTTTTCTACCAATATGTTTCAGCAGTGCAGCATTTACATAGTACTACTGAGTAGAGAAAGCCAGTATAGTGTGACAGATGGACAGAGAGCATGGAGACACAAGTTCATTTCGCTGTTTATATGGTATTCTGGGGTCAATCAGTACCTCTCAGCCAAAATGATCTTAGAGAGTTATTTTCAGTATAAAGTAAGAAGATTCATATGAAGCAGTCATGTGCATTGTTGCTGCATATAAATAAACAAATAATGACATCTTGTCACAGACAGGGCTTGTAAGATCTCTCTCTCTCTCTCTCTCTCTCACACACACACACACACACACACACACACACACACACTCACTCACTCACTCACTCACAGAGAGAGAGAGATTACTGCTTGGTTTTATCATTAGGTATGGCACTGTAATTGACAATGAGATTCACAGCAGAATTTGGAAAAGTTACTTTCTGGACTACAGCACTCAGAATTTCTTAGTCAGATTAGCCACTGAGCAGGTTGGCTACATGATTTTGGGAGCTATAGCACAAGAAAGTATTTTTGTCACTGTCTGCTTTCTAATACAAATATATCAATTTC